TAGGGCCCTGTTACAAAAATTCAGGCAGATCTCATCAAAGTCACAGGATTTGAGGACCTCGGGGGGGATGTTGTCTGGCCCAGCCGCTTTCCCTAATTGGAGGGAAGCCTTTACTCTTCTGAATTCGTCGAGAGTGAAGGGTTCATCGTTGATTTCAAGGTCTGCATAGATAGTTGGTATCTCCTCCTCCGGGTCTTCTACTGTAGGGGGTTCCCCCAGAAGCTTCTGGAAGTGGGTAAACCATGTTGTTACTCGTTCTTCAGGGCTATTGCCCGAGACCTGCCCTTCTTTTGCTCTCTTACGTCCAGTCACCCGGTTGACTAGTTTCCATGCTTCCCCGTACTGCATGGTTCCATATGTGGACTCTATGGCCATTGTTTGCTCTTCAAGTTCCTCTTCCTTAACCTGGTCGTAGGTTTCATACAGCTGGTTTACAGCGAGCTTCCAGGCAACTCTATTTTCATCAGTGCTATATTTTTCCCATCTATCATGTGCCGCCTCTGCCTTCTCTCTCGCCTGGATCACCCTTGGATTTGTAGAAGCGTGGCAGTTTTTCCTCTTGGGTTTAACAGGAACACACTCAACGCAAAAGATGATTGTAAATAGTATTTTTTTTTCAGTTTAAGGAAAAATAAGTGGAAGGATTGTAGAATAATGAAATAAAATCTGGGTTGTCTGTCCAGCAGGCGCCAAGGCAAAGTCATACTCCAAAAAGTGTGGTTGCGTGGTTTATTGCGTAGAATAGGAATGAATACAGAGTTCCAGGGTTCGATCCTCGACTCGAGCACCTCTGTAAAATTCTTTCTTTTTTGTTTGTTTGTTTCTTTTTTTTTTTACTGAAATATAGATGTTCTAGTCATGTTAGATTTTTATCGTAGCAATTTATTTTATTAATATTTACGACGGCCGCGTTTGTTAAATTTTAGAAACAAAATGATACTGCGGCGTCGAACAGAGGATCGCGGGTTCGAACTCGTCTCGAGCACTTTTTTTTCTTTCTTTCTTTTTGAATATAATATAGTTAGGGTAGTCATCTTAATTTTCTGTAGATTTTGTCTAATAATTATTTTCGAGCCATTATTTTAATTTTATAGAGAATACTATACTCGAACTTAGGATCGCCATTTCGATTCTCGACTCGATCGTCTTCTTTCCTTCTTTCTACTGAAATATACTTATTCTTATTTTTCCTGTAGATATTTGTTTTACATATTTTACACGCAAGATCATACGGCGTTGAACTGACATCTCGGGTTCGATTCTCGATTTTTTTCTTCAACTTTAAAATATACTAGTTCTTTTTTTGTTTCTAAAATGCAAAGCAACTTTCATCTTATAAATTCTCTGAAGATAATGAATGCAATCTGAATGCTAACTTTTCGCTGCAGTGATAAAAATATATATATAAAAAAAAAAATTAAAGTGATGTGAAAAGATCCGACGCATAATCTATCAAATCGATATAGATTTCACGGAAAAACTGGACACAGTATGTTCCACGAAGTGGTTCTTGTTCTTCAATATTTCATAAAGATATCGAGAATAATGTATGTATCGATAATACTAGGCATACGAGTGAGTTTTTTCACCATTTTGTCCAGGATTGTAGTTTCAACAAGAATTACTTGATTATTTTTATTTTGATACGATAACTTAATTTTAAATCTTACTTTGAACTCTGCGAAGATGCAGTATTAATAATTATTAAATTTCTCTGTCATTTTTCAATTCTCTTCGGAACTACTAGGTACATGTAATCAATATGGAAAAGAGAGAAATTACATTACTTTTCTATATGCGATTGGTCTTTTGTTCGGATTCAACTTGCATATAGTCCATTCATTGTTGTAAAATTAATTAAGAAAATAAAATATCAAGATAAATGGAAACGGGAAGAAATGAATACAAAATGAAAGTGACCGTGGAAAAGCAAGAAATAACTAAGAGACGTGAAAGGAGACATTGATGAGCGTCACGTGAGTTCGATCAGGAATCGACATGTCTCAGAAATTGACTATACATTTCGCCGCAGCAAAGATCACTTTCAGAGCTACAATTGCATATGAAGTCTAGGGTCGATACAACTGAACATCTTTTGTTCATATGCCCAAATTAGTGTTGTTTGTATTGAAGCTAGACAAAACTGCAACATGATTTTGTATTTCAGGAGTGGTCACTTTAGACTGATTCCACAAAGTCGGTACCAGTTCCCTCTCAGTCGATATTTTTTGTCGGTCACAGCTAGTTTGAGCGACAAACCGAAAAATCAAGGAGCGAATACTACGACTTATGGAATCAGTCTAAGATCACTTCAGTTCGCAAAGATATCAGCTCCATTAATTAACTTTATAAGAAGGTTTCTTTCGTCTTGTCTTTCACCACAGATGAATCTAGAAGCGATATCCCTTCGGCATAAACAGGCTGTGTTAGTCCATAATGGCGTTTTCGCCTCCCTAATGAGTAGTCGTTTGATTGATATGACTCGTCCATGTCAATCCCACTTTCAACTCCGGTAGAGCTTTCACTCATTCGCTTTTCACTGTAGTCAGTTCCTCTTGGGAGGGAGCTTACGGGTGAATTTTGATAGTAATTAANCGAAATTGTCTTAAACAGGCTCTACAATTTAAATAAAAKACCGATATAATTTTTKTGTGTGTCTTGGACAGGGTAATATTTTCATAAAAACACCGTAGAAATAGTAGAAATACCGTTTCACTGTCCCAGGATTAACGTGTTATCAGAAAACTTCTTATTGTCTTTGATGTCAGTATAATTGCAGTTTTGATGGTTGCGGCGTATAGCTATTCCTTATTTTTCCGATTTGTTTTGAACAGGGTATGGATTTTTACTTTTAAGTGTCTTAAACAGGGTCAGGGATTTAGACCGCTGGCGGCACTTACCTATCCAAAACGGGGTCGAGTACCCCCCCCCCCCCCCGGGTTTTGACTACCTTATATGGATTTAAAAATAACTTTGTTCAATCAAAATTTACATCCAGATGTTTATTATTATCTGTCATTTACGATTATGAAGTCGATTGATGTTTTTATTTGCTTTGAATGGATCAAATAAGACGTTTTCGAGAAGTCATAATCACGCCATGTTTGTGTAGCATGTCCACAGTGGGGGTTACATCATATTTTTTCTTCTCAAAACTAATTTTCAGGTGGAACATCCAGAAAGAATCATTGCCAGGTAGAGTACAAACACTAAAACTGTGCAACATAAATACCACTAAATACTGCTAATTTTATTGTTTTCTATTGTTTAATCAACACTATTTTGTAGTAAATAGTGGAAAGTATTGCACACATTTAATGTTTGTACTCTAGACCCTACTAAAATAAAAAATACTATTAAAATACTAAACAAGCTGAAAAAACTATAAATAACTCCCTACTACAGACACAAATTTATCACTATTTTTACAATTGAAATGAAAGTGATACCGTATTTTATTTTTTATTATATATATCCACATTATTCAACATCTAATTTATAATTTTCTCGATTTTTTGCACTAATAAGACTATTTAAACGTGACTTGTTTTGAAGTAATATTTACAAAGTTCATTTTTTTTTTACTTTTCTTGATTTCTATTCAGCGTTAGTCTTTCGTGTGGATTCAGCTTGCAAATAGTATATTAATTGTTGTGATATTAAATTAATAAAATAAAATATCTAGATAAATGGAGAAGGGAAGAAAGGAATAAAAAATGAAAGTGGCCGTGTAAAAGCAAGAAATAACTAAGAGACGGGTTAAGATGAACGTCACGTGAATTCGATCAGGAATCGACTACATTTCGCCACAACAAAGACCAGTCCTATAGAGCTAGAATTGTATAAGAAGTTTAGAGTCGACACAAATAAACATCTTTTGTTCATCTGCCCAAATTAGTGTTGTTTGTACTGAAGCTAGACAAAACCCCAACATGATTTTGTATTTCAGGAGAGGTCACTTCAGTTCTCAAAGATATCAGCTCCATTAATCAACTTTATAAGAAGGTTTCTTTCGTCTTGTCTTTCACCACAGATGAATCTAGAAGCGATATCCCTTCGGCATAAACAGGCTGTGTTAGTCCATAATGGCGTTTTCGCCTCCCTAATGAGTAGTCGTTTGATTGATAWGACTCRTCCATGTCAATCCCACTTTCAACTCCRGYAGAGCTTTCACTCATTCGCTTTTCACTGTAGTCAGTTYCTCTWGGGAGGGAGCTTACGGGTGAATTTTGATAGTAATTAAATATGTTTCCTTGGTCTTTACTATTTGGAGATCTTTTAGGACTCAAGGGGCTTTGAACGTATCGAGTTTCAGGGTTATTGTCTATAGGWTTGCAGTAGTTTGCATCATTTTCATTTCCGTCGGATTTGTAAAGATTTTCCAGTGATAAACACGGCACAGGAGGTAGTGGCGAAGCTTGGATTTCCTCCTCTGTCATTGAATTAGGTTCATTGTTCCTATGTAGACGTTAAAAAAAAAAAAACAAAAGCGAATGAATAATGGGAGAATCAGTGAATAGATGAATGAATAAATAGGTCATGAAAGGGAGATGGATTAAAGAACGGATTCCATAAAGAGGTTAAATAATTTAAGGGACTGTTCATTAAATATGCCTCAGGGTTATCTGGAGGAAAAGTCAATAAAACCTTGGGAAAATTCGAAGCCCCCCTTACTCTATCACACTATTTTTTTCGAGCCCTCCCCTCCTTCTGATATTGAGGAAAAATAGCCCCCCCCCCCCCAATATGTATAAAGCGATGTAAAATAGCTAATCTTAAAACTTTAAAAAGAGTCACAAAAAAGCAAGTGAATGCTTATGTACTATAAAAAAGAAAGTAAAGTTGTTGTTTAAAATGATCATTGATAAGAAATGTATAAAAAATACAAAAACATATTGATACTATTCATACTTTAATTTTGTGTTTCAACCGCCCCTTCAAGTCAGCAAATGCCATTAAAGCCCCCCCCCCCCACTTCATTGCCTGTTTATTTTTCAAAGGCCTCCCTGCTTTTCCTCCAGCCCCCCCTCAGGCATAATTAATGAACGGTCCCTAAGAATAAGGAGTCTTCTTTGCAGACGTTATCAGTGTTGCTCACATCTTACCTCAAAAGGGAGTATTCAACACTATTTCAACGTTTACACAGGAGGATAATGAATGAATGTAGGAAAGAACGGATGGACAAAGAAATGGACGGACGGAAGAAGGAATTGATGGATGATGAATGGGGCGATGGGTAGATAGAAAACAATAGAACAAAAGAACATTTTTCTTCACGGTTCCCTACGCCATCTTGAAAGGTAGCCGAGCCTTTACATCGGAGCGAGACAACCGTTGAGCGTGCAATGATAGATACCTGTGAATATTTGTCTAAATGTAGGTGTGAAAGAAGGTTTCTATCATTGCATAATCAACAATCGCCTCGCTTCGATGCAAAGGCACAGCTACCTTTTAAGATGGCGGAGGGAACCGTGAAGAAAACCTTTTGTCGAACGTCAAATACCTTGAACTATTTGCTAAAGATGAATCCTTTAAAGCTTCCTTGGGCTCCAAGTAGTAGATACGATGCAAATCTTCGTCCATGAACACACTAATGTAAGCATCCTCCGCTTCTTGCTGCAAGGAGGCAACACTCAGTTAAATAATGGATCATAAACTCTTCAGTCTAATGAATCCCACTTTTAATTAGCCTAACCCAAACAAGAAATCACGCGTAGCTCATAAATCTAGTCACAAAAGAAAACGTTTGATGGGAAAAGACACATCCTGATAGAGATGCAAGTTTGTTGTTGTGGTCTTAATATTTCGGCAGAAAAAAAAAGAAAGTACCCACAACACCCTGCGCGCTAGAAGGCTTTACAGGTGAAAAGGCTTTCTGAAAGTACATATCGAAACTTGACCTGACTACAGATTTGCCCTATATTTGTAGACTACCGATTTTCAAACCTACCCCAGAGATCTTTTTCTCGATGATTCGTTCTATTCTCCGCACTAGTTCAGAGAATGTCGGTCTTTCACTTGGTTTATGGAGCCAACAATCTCTCATTATGGCATATATTTCAGGTGGACAATCCACTGGCTGTCTCATTCGTTTGCCTTCAGCCAGGTAGTCCATCAACTCCTCTACTGGGATGCCTGGGTAGGGTGTGCCTCCGAGGGTCTGTGTCTCCCATAACACGACACCAAAAGACCAGCTGTGAAAGGAATATGAAAATAACAGTGAACCTTCCAAAGGACGGTGACTATCACACTTTTTCAAATAGTCGAATTTTGTTTCATAGGTTTCATAGGTTTTAAGACTTCACTATATTTTGTGGTTTTTAGTGTATTTTCTAGTGTATCAAGAGATAAACTTACACATCTGTCTTTTGAGTATAGACTCTATCAAAAAGTGACTCAGGAGCCATCCATTTAACAGGCAACAGTCCTGTCGTCTCTTTGACATACAGATCGGATTTGTAAATATCACGTGCTAGACCAAAGTCAGCGATCTTCATGACGTAATCTTCTCCAATGAGGACGTTTCTTGCGGCCAAGTCACGATGTACGCACTGTGATGAATTGGGAAGATTATTATAATAGAAAATAAAAAGCTAGGAAAAACAAAACAAAACAAAAACAAAAACAAAACAAAACGAAACAAAATTAACAAAACAAAACAAAACGAAACAAAATAGTTTCTATCTAAAAAGGTATCAAAATATCTGCATTGAAATCTGTGGGGCCTTATTTTCCAGTAATATTCTTACCTTTTTTGAAGACAGGAAATCCATTCCCCTAGCGATCTGATACGAGTACATGACTAAGTCTGCCAAAGTGAATTCAGCATCCGGGTTATTAGCCGTCTTACGCCACGTGGCCTCGTAGATCTCACGGCGACTGCGCAGAAAGTTCAACAAGTTTCCATGAGGCGCAAACTCCATGATGACCATGAGCTGCTTGGTTCGAGTACATGCGCCAAGAAGGTTGATGATGTTACTGTGTTCTCCGAGGTGTATCATTATTTTCAGTTCTGTTGCAAGGTCTTTGTAATCACTCTCGTTTGCCTCCGCTGAAGATGACAAAATAATGATATATAATTAATCCCGGCACTAACAGAAATGAATGCTGCATTTTACAGTTCCGAAAGCCATCTCGAAATGCTAGATACCTATGAATTATAATCTTAGGTGTGAAATACAGATATTTTTACCGCAGGTTCAACTGTTGTCTCGCTTTGATGCAAAGGCTCGGCTACCTTTCAAGATGTCGCTAGGGACTGTAAATTGTCAATACGCCTTTTTCCCGTTCAAAGCGAGCAACCGCTGCTTTAGTTAACAACAGTCTCTCATACCCAGATACCTTAGCAAACACAAAAGAAAGCATGAAAAAATGTTGTCATTACAATAGACCAATAAATTTCCATTTTCTGTGATTCTGTAGTCCCAGAAGATTCAAACTCTTGCTCAGGCTAAGCCTCAAATCGGAGAAGATTCAAATTTCTAGAGCTATCGTAATGTCAATACTTTTTTCTTGCATTCTTTTGTTCTCTACGCAAGTAAGTCTGTTGTCTACTAAAACAGCGGTCGCACGCATTGAACTGGAAAAAGGCTTATTGTCCATGTTGCCAGTCATTTTTTAAGTGAGTTTTATCATCACTATCATTGCCTTGTTGTCTCGTGTTATTCCCATTCCCATATTGTCGGCCATTGTTAGTCATACCTTTAAGCATCTTGACGGCAACACTCGTTCTGGTGTAGTCATTTCCGGCAGAATCTTGATAAATACGACTAGAGCTTAATCTTCTCCGCAGTCTTGACCGTCTTTTAAAGGCATCTGATGTCTTATCGCGAGCACTGAACGACAAAATCCCAACGGCTTCGGCTTTCATGACTTGACCAAACGCCCCCGAACCAATGACCCCCTGGAGAATTAGTCTCTTGACAGGAAACTCCCAGTCAGCATCGTAAGGCAATTCCTCACACTGCTCAAGAATAGTGCGGTTTGGGTCAAGCTGTTAAGTGAATAATAATTACTTGTCATGGAAATGTACAGCGAAGTCACTGTCTAGAAAATGTTTAGGAGCAGGACGGGAAATGTATCCAGTCTCCTAAAACAACCTCTATAATCCGTTTTTATAAAGGGTACGTAAAAGGCAAAAAAATGCTTTGGGAGATCTATCAAGGGCTTCACAATATTTATTCAAGACAACTACCTTGTAATCTTCTCCACTCCTGAGATATCTTATCGCTTTGTACTCTTCAAGTAGCCTTTTCTGTCGATGATTCACGAAGCAGCATGCCAAAACAGCAATCAGGAATAACAAGCCTAACACTCCTCCAATTCCGCTAGCAAGAATGATGGTTTCGATATCTGGGCCTTTCTGCTTATTGAGTATGGCGAGACCTAAATATACAAACTCATTAAGTAAGATTCTGGACTCTTTGAATTTTGAATATAATGTATGAGTCAATTCCAAAGGTGCCCATCCCCCCCCCCGGGCGAATCCCCGGGCATTTGACTTTTTGGAAAAAAATTGGTCAAATTCCCCACCA